GGCGCATTTGCCGACCTCAGAGGGTTAACTAATGTTAAAGGGATCATATAATGCCATTTTGTATAAGTTAATATGAATGTTTAGGGTCTAAATGAAAATGTTGTAATTTACTTTTATTAAAAATTCTCATTAGTATTTTAAGAAAAGACTTAATTTTAATTTTACCTGGTCAAAATCAGCTCTGTTTTCAGCACGCCGTTTCAGTGCATATCCCTTTAAATAATAAACCCCGCCCCTCTGTTCTGCGGGCGTTTAGAGAGCGCATGTAGTGTTGCCTTGACAACAGTTGAAGGTATATTTTGGAGAGAGAATGGCAGCAGGAGTCTCTGAGGACACATCTGTGCAATCGTATGAGTCTGGAGTCGCACCCAGAGCAAGATGACGGCCGCAAAGAAGTTCGACAATTAAGGCTCGAACAGGGCGTTTCTGAATGGTTGGTAAACGTAATGTCACCTTGATCTATCTTTGTATGCACTGGCAAGGTAGAGTAATGAGATACGAACGCTATGTGTTTACTGATGTATACGTTAGTTCATTCACAGATTGACGTTACAACTAATGCCTGGTCATGAAAAACTTTTTTCCCGTGATTTGTAAGGATTAATATAAAGGTTAATAAAACTTTACACTCCCTTCTTCTGGAGGTGCAGAGGGAACATAAATAGTTGTTACCGATTATTTTTTCAGGCGCAGCTTCATAACAAAACCAGGTTTATACTGACCCTTGTTTATAAAGAAGTCTAAGATAAATAATTTGCGCAAACATGAACGCATTGACATTACTCGTGGGGAATATTCCCATTGTAAACAAAACTCAGCCACTGCGTCTTCAGCGGTTCAAATTTAGGAACATCAAAATGATTTCTGTGTTTGTTATTGCACCCAAGAACTAGGGGTGCACGATATTGACAAAAATGTGATATTGCGATATCGATAATGAATATTGCGATATCGATATTAATTTTGATATTTTTAAACGGATGTAAAACTACAAAAGTTATTGGAAAACGCATCAAAAAAGATTAATAAATCAAACAAGTTTTCTTATAACATAAGATTTATTTCAACTGACAGTCATATTGGACTGGCACAGCATTAATAAATAAATAATAACCATGTCTACAGAACAGGACATGGTACTAGTTGTGTACACTAAAGTGTAAAAGAAAATAAATAAATAGCAAGTCTACAGAACACACTATGCAACATAAACGCCACTATATGTGTTTTCTTTGACCGGAATATTAGCTATCTGATCGTGAAAAGAGGTGTAAATGCCCTGTGAAACGCATTCGTGACGTATTTGAATCTAATCGCTCAAACCACTTCAGGAGGTGGTCTGGGCCGCATTTCAGTCGAAACTGGACAAATGTAAATGCATCTCGTTGTTGAAACCACATATGTAAAATGTACTCCTTCCAAAAACGATAAAAATGAGAACGTTACAGGCTTGTCATGTTATGGCCAGATGACGATGCGCGCGACTGCAACACGCATCACAGGGGATGAGCAGCTGAACGTGCAAACTATCGCAAATCAAAGTGAAAGTAAGTCGCAGACGCTTTTCACAGTTATCTTCATTAAAAGTAAATAAACGAACTGATCTTACTTTACCTGATGATCGTAAAATGCATAACTGTTGCTTTCGGTGACGTGCACTCCATTAAATAAATCTGCATATAGCGCGGGAATTGAAGATCGTATTTTGATAAATCAGATAGCTATCCGATCAGTGAAAACACATGAAGTTGCCAGGTGGACCGTGGCCTGATGTTTACTTGTGCGCTGGTGTGCGCGTCGTGCCGGCAAGTGTGTGTGTGTGGGATTGTGTGGTTGGAGAGCAAGGGAGAAGTGAGAGAGTGACGGCGGTTAGCTTTGGAGCGAGTAGCGACTTTACATTGAGAAAAACAAAGTGTCTCTCCTGTTCTTTCTGACCACTGTGGGAAATCTGTAGCATGAAAAGTTACACCTCTCCTTGATTTCATGTTGTTTATGGAGAAGGAGAATCAGGAAATGAGTCGGGGGAAATGCAATGGTGCATGTCGGACCAGACGCATCATAAACAAAATATTGCATAAATATCGCAACACTTTCGATATGTATATCGAGCAACGTGGTATCGCGATAACGATATTGATTCGATATATCGTGCACCCCTACCAAGAACAGAACACAATCACTTAGATGCCATTCTGCTCCAGTGTATCAACAATGACGGACTATGATTGACAGCTCGCTCAGGGCGGGTCTGTGTTGAAACACTGCTGTCAATCAACAATCGTGGAAGGGGGTCATGGTGAAACGGCTCGATTTGAGACAGAGCAATACATATGAGGAGATTAAAACAAAACCACTGGGTGGATTTTTAGCATTGAATGATGGCTGTGTACAGGCACGGACAACACACATTGCAGTACAACCAACTTGTAAAAGTGCATGTACCATTATATGACCCCTTTAACAAATCCAACTTTTGATTTAAATAATGTAGGCTACTAAATGGTGAAATTAACATTAAGAAAGATGAATTAATGCAGTAGACGTGCAGTTTATTATTAGTTTTAATAAATGGAACCATATCGTGTTACCGATCCAACACACGAGGAAGGACCTTCTTTCTCAGAGATGGGGCACTCTATGGCACCCACATCCAGACCTCTGGAAACTCCATGTCTGGTCACTGGACAAGACGCGGAGGTTCTAGGTGATCTACCACAGGCTGTGGTAAACACCATCACTTCTGCTAGAGCCCCCTCTACGAGGCGCCTCTATGCCTTGAAGTGGAACCTATTCGTCGAGTGGTGCTACTCCCGCCAGGAAGACCCCCGAACCTCCCTGATCCGAGTCGTGCTTTCCTTCCTACATGATGGGTTGGAGCGAAGGCTGTCTCCCTCCACCCTCAAAGTGTATGTTGAAGCAATAGCTGCACATCACGATGTAGTAGAAGGTAAGTTGTGGGGAAGCAAGACCTGGTCATCAGATTCCTTAAGGGTGCTAGGAGGTTAAATCCGCCTCGTGTTTTACACTCTGTACCCTCTTGGGACCTAGCTCTCGTACTGAGAGCTCTCCAATGTCCTCCCTTTGAGCCTTTGCTGACATTGGAGCTGAATATCCTGTCCATTAAGACAGTGCTCCTGTTGGCATTGACCTTTTTTAAGAGGGTCGGGGATCTGCAGGCTTTTTCGGTCGACGAATCGTGCCTAGAGTTCGGGCCGGGCCTTTCTCACGTTATATTGAGACCCCGGCCCAGATATGTGCCCCAGGTTCCAACCACTCCCTTCGTGGATCAGGTAGTGAACCTGCAAGCGCTGCCCCAGGAGGAGGCAGACCCAGCCCTAGCTTTTCTCTGTCCAGTCCGTGCCCTGCGGGTTTACATTGACAGAACACAAAGCTTCAGGACCTCAGACCAGCTCTATGTCTGTTACGGAAGCCAGCAGAAGGGGAAGGCTGTCTCCAAGCAGAGGTTAGCTCACTGGTTAGTGGATGCTATCACCCGAGCGTATGAAGCTATGGGTGAGCCTTGTCCTCCCAGGTTGCATGCTCACTCCGAGAGGTGTTGCCGCCTCCTGGGTATTGGCTCAAAGTGCCTCGCTGACAGACATCTGTAGAGCTGTGGGCTGGGCGACACCGAACACGTTCGCTAGATTCTATAGCCTACGTGTGGAACCTGTTTCCTCCCGAGTACTCTCTACGGCCAGTGGTGCGAGGGAATAGGTTGTGTCGGCTTGCTACGCCACTCCGTGCCTCAGCCGATTACGTGTGTATTTCTGCTTCGTTGCCGCCCTACGTTGGTTAGCCTCGTGAGTTCCTCCATAACCCCTCCGGTGCCAGCCGCAGTGGACCGCCAGGCACTAGGTCTACTACCTCTAAATGAGTTGTTGTGTAGACTGGGTGTTATTTCCAGTGGTCTCTTCGGTGACCCATTATGGCACGTGCAGTCCAGCCGTGTCTTCCCCTTGACAGACTCGTTCTGTCGTCCCTGTTGAATACGTTCCCACTTCCCTTGGATTGGGACTACCTCAGGGACTGCCATATGTTTCACTATCCCCCTGGGCTAGTACATATGTGTATTCCAGGTCTTCATCAGGCGGCTGGCTTCCACAGCATTACCTTCCCTTTTTACGGGTTCGGCACGCTTTCCCAGTGTTATCCAATGTTGACTGATTGGGTCTTGTGGAACAGCAGTGTGACTCCCTAGCTAGCTTCTGTTATTTCTGAAACTGCGTGGGTAGTGTAGCTAGGCGCTGGAAGGGGCCAGCACCATGGCGTTTTATTAGGGATCCCAATTCGTCAGGGAACTCCCCAACAACACGTTAGGTATGTAACCCTCGTTCCCTGTCGTGTCGTCCCTTCGCCATGTGGCTGTACCTTCGTGGAGGGCTGGACTCTGTTCGGCTCCTTAGCGAAAAGCGTCTATGCAATTTTTTACTTCCTCTTTTATATTCGCACTTGTAGGCGGCTCGCGGAATGCAAAGATTGCATGTCAATTTTTATTGGCTCATTTTTAATTCTATCCCAAATCGTCAGGGAAATCCCCGACGACATGTTTCCGTTCCCTGTACTCAGGGAACAAGGGTTACATACGTAACCGAGACAATTTTTTCGTTTACTGAAAGTGTGGTTATGTCAGCTGAATGTGGGGAACACTTTTCAGAGACGATAAGGCAACGTTTTTTCAACACAATTCACACACAGAGGGAAACAAATTTCCAATTGCACAATGTGAAACTTCGGAACCTTTTACCATCGTGTCAATTGATTTTGATTAAAACGAGCGAGGGAGCTAGGCTCAAAACTAGGGTAGAAAATAGCCTTTTACTTATTCATTTTGATGTTTTTGAATGCAAAAACCAATTCCCTTAAGCGAATGTCATAAGTTGACCTCAGACAACAATATAATAAAATTTAAAAAGCCAATTCATGACCACTTTTAAGTGTTCTAGTTTAAACAGTAGAAGTGATTTTAAGCATTTTGATTCTTGTATGTGAATGTGACTGACCTCAATCTCTCCAGTTTACAGTGTGTATCCTTCAGTACGGCACATAAGTGCTTCACTCCTGTGTTTCCTAGATTATTCCAGCTCAGGTCCAGCTCTCTCAGGTGTAACGGGTTTGATTTCAGAGATGAAGTCAGGATGAGACTCTGTTTCTTTGTAATACTGCATACACTCAGACTGAAGACAGAGAAATAACAATAGTTCACATCTATGATGATAATCTAATTGAAGAGCTACAGCAGCATTTAGTTTCCAATAGTCTGTTTTAAAACCCAGTCACACTAGTTCTGTGCGCTGGAAGACACTGTTTCTTCTCTTTCATTTCGAACTATTTATTTGACATCTCTCTTCTTTATTCTCTCTTGTAAATGCAGATTTCTGCGTGTACACAATTGTACAGATGTTGGGAATTAAACAATTACTAGATAAAAAAACACATCAAAATGTGAGCAATAGGGAAACCCAGAAAGTGCACTGCTATAACCAATGAAACATAAGCCCTGCTGTCTTCAAATAAATAAACTTCAGTCACACTGTAATTGCTGTACAGTGGGGGTGTAACAGTACAAAGTCACGGTTCGGTATGAGTTTGGTCTAATGCGGGAAAAGAAAAACAAAAATGCAGACGGCAAATTTTTTTTGTGCACGTCTCAGGTCGTACTACCTATGTATTAATACATTTGAGTAATTCATGCAATTAATTATATTAACGTTATGGTTATTATACATGAGGTAACTTAACAATACATCAATTAACGCTATGGGGAACGCCTCAGGCGTGACAGGTGTCTGAAATCAAATACCAACCGACAGCAATCATGTTGACCGGCGACAGCCCATCAGTGGTGGAAAGAGTACTGAAAAAACATACTCAAGAAAAAGTACCATTACATTCCAAAAAATGTAGTGTGAGTAGAGTAAAAAGTACTTGTCCAAAAAACTACTTGAGTAAGAGTAAAAAAGTAGTTTTTTTAAAAGAACTCATGAGTAGTGAGTACTGAGGTGCGGATTCTACCCCTTGTAATAAACACTGTGCACTACAATTTATAAATTAAAAAAAAAAAATTGCACATACTGTAATTCACATTATATTTTGTTCTTTGTAAGAAAGATTGAAGAATATCTATCATCCATATTTTTAAAATGCATCAAATCAGTACACTCATCACCATTTAAATCATATTATTTGGGGGGGAGCATTTAAATTAGGCGAAAAGCCACTGGGCCTGAGCATGCTATTGTTGCACATAAAATATCAATATTATTAAGTTTGCAAAGAATTCAAAAACCTTTAGAAACTCATATGATAGTTCAGCATCACACACCAAGAGATGGGTTAAATAGAGAGATTAAAAATACCCGCAATTTCTCTCTAAAACGGTACCAATGTTAGTGTTTTGATAAATGAGAATCACTAATATTATCCGATTATCTGAACTAATGCACTGAAAAAGGCTAAGATAGTGAGCTAACACTAATTAAATATGTCCATGCTATTAAATATGTTACAATTTAAACGTAAATGCACATTGTTCTAGAAGGCATCATCCCTTACATTTCACATGGCTACATTTACTCACATTGTAATGCTGATAATATAATTTGTAAGGAAAATTGTGCATTAAACAGGGAAGTTATATCCAGGAAACTTTTACAAAAGAAACAAACAAATGCACATTGTCTCTTTGTCTTTGAAGTCTCGATCGGCGAAGCTGTTTTATCAGCAGCAAATGTTTTTGCGCAAAGTGCACTTACCAAATGAAGACGGATCGTATAATGGATCAATCAAAAAACGTTGTTTATTAACGAGCTGTGGTAATTTCTTATTAAGAAATGCAGTTCAAGTTAACGACATGGTGCACTGATTCTGAATCTGGCGGCATGGCGAGCGCGAGACGCGGCAGTGCACAGATCGTGACGCGCGTCTCTCTATAGACCATTTCACAAGATGTAAACAACACTGGTTCAGAAGCACTTCCTGTTTCAGTTTTTTAACACTACATAAAAGCTGGGATAAAATACAACCAACAGAACATTTAAAACTGAATCAAAAAGTTAAACAAACATCTTTAAGATGTTTTCTTTACATGTGAAATAAAGAAAACAGTTACAAACTGAAACAGGAAGTGCTTCTGGACCTGTGTTGTTTACATCTTGTGAAATGGTCTATAATGTGATTGTGAAGTAAATGGGAGCGGGAATTCACGGCATTATGAACTCGTCACGCAATACCCCCAACCTCAGACCAAATATTAGGCCCTGTAGACAGGCCAGCAGCCTATATAAATATCATATTAAGCAGAAATGTGAAATGTACCTTAGCATATTAGAGGTAGACGCTGATATCTGGATTGAATTGATGCGTGATGAAAGCACTTCCACAGCAGTCACGAGTAACAGCAGGAATAGGCGGTTAAAGTTTTCTGTGCTTAATTTGATTTGATGAAAGTCACGAGACTGATTACTCGATCCAATCACGTTGCTGGATAAAAATTAAATTAAATTAAAACAAGCATGTAACGAGTAACGACCACAAACAGAAGGAAAATAGCGGAGAAACAGTACCGATACATCACTTAAAATGTACTCAAGTAAAAGTAAAATTACACAATTTTAAACTTACTCAAAAAAGTACAATTTCTGAAAAAAACTACTTAATTACAGTAACGTGAGTATTTGTAATTCGTTACTTTACACCCCTGCAGCCCATGCATCATCAGCTCGAATGATGATCGCGTCAATCTGGGTGTATAAAAAGAGCGCCTTGAAACCGTCTGTTTGATAGTATCAACGATGAAGCGTGCAGAGATGCGGAGAAACACTTTTCGCGAGTGTGCCGACCTGTGTCCAGATATTTGACACCGGAGGATTCACACAATCTGTGCGTGTTCTGCCTGAGAGAAGAGCACGCGCGGGAAGCTCTCGAGAGTTTTCTGCACGAACTGTGAGAGTTTTCCTATCAGAACTCTCTGCTCTCATCTGTCCCACAACTCAAGGGAAGCATCTGAACCCCGCGGTTCCGGTTCCCACTCGGGCTGAGGCTCAGTGGCGGTTGAGCTCGTGGAGATTTCAGATGGAGCATGTAAGGCAGGTGCGGTTCTGCACACCGTTGCAGTCTTCAGGCCTATCAGACCGACCTGCTGCGGGACTCCGGGCCACCAAACAATCTGCTGTTCCCATCAGTGCTATGGTGGCCATGGAGAGACATCTGCAGCTCAACCAGGCTGACATTGGGGAGAAAGGAAACTTTTCTCCTCGATTCGTCGGTTTCGCTTTCCAAGCTTTTCGGACCTTACGTCGAGATGGTGGTTGATAAGTTTCAGGGAGGGGGCGCTCTGAGGCGTTTAAGAGCTGCATAACGCCGAGGTCCTCTGCTCAGCCACAGGCAAGGGGGAAGGGCCTGGTCTGTCATGGTCTGAGGATCACAGACAGACCCAGAAGGCCAGTGTCGCTTCCAATACACCCCCTCCTCCCGGTAAGGGGAGTAGGGCGCGCAGGAGGTGTAACTCCCGCGGGAGACAGGATCTCAGGTCCTGGTTATGAGCTCCCACATACTGTGGTTGCCAGGTTACAGGTCTCACCAGGCCTTCCTGGTTTTGAGCTCCCACATGCTGTGGTCGCTGGGTTACAGGCCTCACCAGGCGTTCCTGGTTATGAGCTTCCACATACCGTGGTCGCCAGGTTACAAGCCTCACCAGGCCTTCCTTGTTATGAGCTCCCACGTACTGTGGTCGCCAGGTTATAGGCCTCACCAGGCCTTCCTGGTTATAAGCTCCCACATACTGGGGTCGCCAGGTTACAGGCCTTATCCAGCTTTCTTGGTGATGGGCTTCTACGTCAGGTTACAGGCCTCACCCGGCCTTCCTGAATGTTAACTCCCACATGCTGTGGTAGCCAGACTACAGCCTCATCACCTTTCCTGAGTACCATGCTCCCACTCTGTGGTCACCAGGCTTCAGGCTTCATTGGCCTTCCTGGTTGTGAGTTGTCACATTTTAGGTTGCAGGCTTTACCAGGCCTTCCTGAATGTGAAACCCCCACTTATCGTGGTCGCAAAGGTGTAGTTGTGAGTCTTCACATGTCAGGTTACAGGCATCAGTGGCCTTGTTGAATGTGAGCTCCCCACGCATCGGGACTATCAGGTTACAGGCCTCATCAGGCCTTCCTGATTATGGGTTCCCACATATTGTGGTTGCCAGGTTACAGGCCACAAGATCGGCCTTCCTGAATACAGAGTGAAGTACATGTACCTATACTTCACCTATTCTTATGGTAAGTCACACGACGAGATGTCTTGTGTGCTTTCTAAAATCCATTTATTAAGGTAAGGGTCACGCACGGTACACTTCGGTCCCTTCCTATGTGGCTTAGACCCGGATCTTTTCTTAAGGTCCCACTTTAAGAGTCCTGTTGCTTAAGTAGGCTACGACGGACGCCCTTCTCTGGCTAACTTGTGGAAGTTGCTTTCATTTGGTATGGTTTTTCAGGGTACAGGCCTTATCAGGTCTTTCTGAAAGTAAGCTCCCACAGGTTGTGGTCACCAGGCTGGGTCTCACTGACCTTCCTGAGTACGAGCTCCCACCCGATGTGGTCGCCAGTTTACAGGCCTTACCAGGCCTTCCTGGGTATGAGCTCCCACATACTGTGGTCGCCGGGTTATAGGCCTTACCAGCCCTTCTTGGTTATGAGCTCCCACATACTGTGGTCGCCGGGTTATAGGCCTCACTTGGCCTTCCTGGTTATGAGCTCCCACATACTGTGGTCGCCGAGTTATAGGCCTCACCAGGCCTTCCTGGTTCCTGAATGGCTATGAACACGCACTTTTCGTGTTTGCGTTTGTCCATATTTGCGCTGTACGCTTCGCCCCCCTTTTTATGTGGCTCAGACTCCAGTTCTTCACTTTAGGTCCCACTCTAGATGTGTCCTTTGTTGCAATACACTATGACAGACACTTCCCTTGTTCAAGCTATCTCCCACAACTGGTGGTTTTAGGTCTCATTGGGCCTTTTCGAAGGTAGCCCCACATTGTGGGTCTGTCAGGTTATAGACCTCTAGCCTTCCTGAAGGATAAGCTTCCACATGCTGTGGTCGTCGGGTTTTCAGTCTCCCCACATATCTGGTCTTAGGCCTCAGTAACCTTCCTGATTTTAATCCCTCTCTTACTTACTCAGTGCTCAACAGCAAGTACTGGGTGCAAACTCGTGGATTGAGTGGATGACTCCCATTGTTTTGAGGTTAAGTCACACTCTCCGGAGGATCCCGTCTCTGTGATCCGAAACTCGATGGTTTCTGCCAGCTTCGCAGGCCTTCAGTTTTTGGATGCCTTTCCTAGGCAATTTCCAGAGGCTCTGTCTCGGACAGACAGGCTATGGCCAGACTGTGTGTCTTAGTACAGATCACCAGGCCAGCCTGAGGGCATTTCAGGAGGAGTGAAGTAGTGATACTTCTCCTAAATAGTGACTAGCTGGGGGTCCAAAATAAACAGATAGTGCTCTCTTTGAGGACAAAAAGAAAACCAATGCAATATGATGAATGTCCAAAAGATGGCGCCCACACACTGTTTAAATGGGTCGGATAAATAGATAAGATAACAGCTGTCACCATGCCTCATGAATGCTTTGCTGGTCAAATGGAAAATATATATAGTTTTGATTTTTCCCTCTCGTTTATCTACAGCTCAGATCTAGAATTCGATAAAGTAGCGCTGTGATCATTTTTTTATGAATTAACCAGAGCAAGAGAGAGAGAGAGAGAGAGAGAGAGAGTGAGAGAGAGAGAGAGAGAGAGAGAGAGAGAGAGAGAGAGAGAAAGAGAGAGAGTATCTAAATATTGAAGCTTGTTGGTTTAATTAATTGTAACTGACTGGGAAACCGATGTTTTACCAAATGTGCGATCTTAAAGAGGCCGACGGGTCCTTTAACTCTTGTGGGTGGCCACCACTCGCCATACTCGTCCTTAGTGCTGCTATCTCTGACTCACTCACTGGACCGTCACGTCGACCTGACAAAACACTGCACATATGCGGAGATCGCCTTAAGCGGGGCTACAGATTATGTGTCCCTAAAGAGCCCACGTATCTAATAGTAGCTCCGCATTAAATTAATTAATTTGCACACGAGTTTAATTTAATTTTATACCGCGTATTCTCTGTGTAAATGCTTGAACCGAACCGTGACGCCTGTACTGCTTCGGTTCAATACGAATACATGTGCCGTTCCACCCCTACTGTACAGTATAATGACACTAACTGTAGTTTCTCCAGCTTGAATTGTGGGTTCATCAGTAGATCACTGAGGTTTTTCACTCCAGAGTCTCCTAGATTATTCCTGCTCAGGTCCAGCTCTCTCAGGTGTGACGGGTTTGATTTCAGAGCTGAAGTCACACCAGAACAACCTTCATCTGTCATATTACAGCAGCTTAACCTACATTAGCAGAGAGAGAGAGAGAGAGAGAGAGAGAGAGAAAATTTGAATTTTAATATACCTTTATTATAACAATTTAAGTCTTGGATTGTTTACACTTCACCCAAATTATTTATTAGGGCCCAAGCCCTGAAAGGGCGAAGGCCCTATTGTTTTCCTTGGGATTATTTATTAGGGCCCAAGCCCTGAAAGGGCGAAGGCCCTATTGTTTTCCTTAGGATTATTATTATTATTAGGGCCCAAGCCCTGAAAGGGCGAAGGCCCTATTGTTTTCCTAACGATTATTATTATTATTATTATTATTTATACGACTATTTGGGCACTTTTGGGGCCCTTAACATGCTCAAAAACTCTTGAAACTTTGCACACGGGTCAGAATCCGCGGCCATCAGGGCTGGGCTGAAGATGGTACCCGGGCATGGCAGGGGGGCTAGACAGCGCCCCCTGGAACGGGGTCCGAAAACTTGGTCCATAACTCAAACACGCTTGCATGTAATAATATGAAACTCGGTACACATGTTGATCTCATCGTTCATATATACCTCAAACTATTACTTTTTACCCCAGCCCAACAGGAAGTCGGTTATTTAGGGTTGTTCATAAAACACTCGCAATGGAATTTGAAGTACTCCTCCTAGAGAATTCAAACACACGGCACGAAACTCAGTCAGCATGAAGTCAAGGCATTGAGGATGAAAGTTTGCGAGGGGATTTTTGATATCTCGAACGGTTTGGCCGTGGCGAGGAAACGAACTTATGGCGATAATCGTGAAACAGGAAGTGTGTCAGAACTTCAGCATACATTAACTGATCTTGATGAAACTTCAGCAGTTTGTTTGCTGTAAGAGGACGATCACATGGATGTGAATATTGTGAGTCAAAGTTATAGCGCCACCAACTGGCAGCAGGAAGTGTGTCACTTTCAAAATGCTTTGAAATCACCCTCTTATTTTTACCCGATTTGCTTCAAACTTAATCTGTATAATGTAAATACATAGCAGATGAAGACCTGTGAATGGATTCTTGATATCTTTGATACTGTTGCCGTGGCAACGCATCAAACTTTAAAATTCTTTTTTTTGATGATTTTGAGACTCTTAGCGGCTTTTGGGGCCCTTAACGGGTTTGAAAACTCTTGAAACTTTGCACACAGGTCAGATCCCACAGCCATCAGAGCCGGGCTGAAGATGGTACCTGGGTGTGGCAGGGGGGCTAGACAGCGCCCCCTGGAACGGGGTCCGAACACTTGGTCCATAACTCAAACACGCTTGCATGTAATAATATGAAACTCGGTACACATGTTGATCTCATCGTTCATATATACCTCAAACTATTACTTTTTACCCCAGCCCAACAGGAAGTCGGCTATTGAGGTTTGTTTGTAAAACGCTCGCAATGGAATGTGCAATACTCCTCCTAGAGAATTCAAACACACGGCACGAAACTCGGTCAGCATGAAGTCAAGGCATTGAGGATGAAAGTTTACGAGGGGATTTTTGATATCTCGAACGGTTTGGCCGTGGCGAGGAAACGAAATTATGGCGAGAAACGTGAAACAGGAAGTGTGTTATAACTTCAGCATACATTAACTGATCTTGATGAAACTTCAGCAGTGTGTTCGCTGTAAGAGGACGATCACATGGATGTGACTATTGTGAGTCAAAGTTATAGCGCCACCAACTGGCAGCAGGAAGTGTGTCACTTTCAAAATGCTTTGAAATCACCTTTTTATTTTTACCCGATTTGCTTCAAACTTCATCTGTATAATGTAAATATACGGCAGATGTAGACCTGTGAATGGATTCTTGATATCTTTGAAACTGTTGCCGTGGCAACGCATCAAACTTTACCATTCTTTTAGGATGCTTTTGAGACCCTTACAATGCTTGAAATTGCATGAAACTCGACAGACACATCACATTTATTAGCCAGTGGACACGTGCAAAGTTTCAGAAACGGGCGTGGTGAGGGCTCAGTAGCGCCACCTTTTGACAAAAGTGGGGTTGTTAGTTTTATCTACAGTTACAAAAATCGGTATGTATATTGTACTCCTCGAGCCGGACAACTTTCTAATTGACACTCATTAGCTAGGACCCACAGAAAGTCAGATATCTTTGTTTGAATGTAGAGAAAATCTTAGAATTTTGCCAGTCTCTCAGTGTCTCTCTGTGTGAGTGAGAGGAGGGGCGCCTGTCAGGTTAATTTTAACCCTTTATTTGCTGTGTGCGACTTCTCTGGCATTTTCGGGGGCCTTAACATCCTCTAAAACTCTTGAAACTTTGCACACGGGTCAGAACCCATGGCCATCAGGGCCGGGCTGAAGCTGGTCATCGGGCGTGGCAGGGCGGCTCGACAGCGCCCCCTGGACTGGGATTCGAACATTTGTCCATAAATCAAACACACTTGCGTGAATTAATATGAAACTCGGTACAATTATAGATCACATCAGGCCAAACAACTTTCGTGCTCTAAGTTTTACGACAATTAAAATGGAAGTTGAGAATTATGGGTTGTTTGAATAGTTGTCCTAGGAGAAATACATCAAATTACAACGCATGTGTTTACCAATCACAACCAAACTCAGTGTGCAAGAAGTCAAGACATTGAGGATGAAAGTTTGTGAGGGGATTTTTGATATCTCAAACGGTTTGGCCGTGGCGAGGAAACGAAATTATGGCGAGAAACGTGAAACAGGAAGTGTGTTATAACTTCAGCATACATTAACATATCTTGATGAAACTTCATCAGTGTGTTCGCTGTAAGAGGACGATCACATGGATGTGACTATTTCGAGTCAAAGTTATAGTGCCACCAACTGGCAGCAGGAAGTGTGTCACTTTCAAAATGCTTTGAAATCAACCTCTTATTTTTACCCGATTTGCTTCAAACTTCATCTGTATAATGTAAATACATGGCAGATGAAGACCTGTGAATGGATTCTTGATATCTTTGATACTGTTGCCGTGGCAACGCATCAAACTTTAAAATTCTTTTTTTTGATGATTTTGAGACTCTTAATGGCTTTTGAGGCCCTTAACGGGTTTGAAAACTCTTGAAACTTTGCACACAGGTCATATCCCACAGCCATCAGGCCTGGGCTGAAGATGGTACCTAGGCGTGGCAGGGGGGCTAGACAGCGCCCCCTGGAACGGGGTCCGAAAACTTGGTCCATAAATCAAACACGCTTGCATGTAATAATATGAATGAAAAACTTAATCTGTATAATGTAAACAGATGAAAAACTTCATCTGTATAATGATGAAAAACAGATGAAAAACTTCATCTGTATAATGTAAACATACGGTAGATGTAGACCTGTGAATGGATTCTTGATATCTTTTAAACTGTTGCCGTGGCAAAGCTTCAAACTTTGAAATTATTTTAGGATGCTTTTGAGACTCTTAGCATGCTTGAAATTGCATGAAACTCAACAGACACATCACATTTATTAGCCAGTAGACATGTGCAAAGTTTCAGAAACGGGCATGGTGCAGGGACTAAATAGCGCCACCTTTTGACAAAAGTGGGGTTGTTATTTTTATCTACAGTTACAAAAATCGTTATATACATTGTACTCCTCAAGCCAGACAACTTTCTAATTCATAGTCATTAGCTCAGACCAAGAGGAAGTCAGATATTTTGGATTGAATATGGTGAGACTCTCTCTGAGCCTACGTCCGTGTATGGCAAGCCCCTTTAACATTTAAAAGCTAAGTTTGCCTATCCGGAAATTAACATTGTAGATATCAACAATGTCTTTCTGTCTAGTCGTAATTACATTTTGGATAGTTTGTATTATCATTTAAGATATCTGTAACATAATTGTGACTAGTCAAAATGACAGACTATGGCAAGCCGTTTTAACATTTAATCATGAAAGGGCCAAAGCCTTCGGCACCGCCACCCCGGTGCCTTTAGGTAACTAAAGGAGCCGGGGTTGCGGTGCCACCGGCTTGGGCCCGCCATCGCTGCTCGCAGCTATATTTATTATTATTATTATTTATACGACTATTCGGGCACTTTTGGGGCCCTTAACATGCTCAAAAACTCTTGAAACTTTGCACACGGGTCAGAACCCGCGGCCATCAGGGCCGGGCTGAAGATGGTACCCGGGCGTGGCAGGGGGGCTAGACAGCGCCCCCTGGAACGGGGTCCGAACACTTGGTCCATAAATCAAACACGCTTGCATGTAATAATATGAAACTCGGTACACATGTTGATCTCATCGTTTCATCTATACCTCGTGCTTTTACTTTTTACCCCAGCCCAACAGGAAGTCGGCTATTTAGGGTTGTTCGTAAAACACTCGCAATGGAATTTTTAATACTCCTCCTAGAGCTTTGATCCAAATTCGACGAAACTCGGTCAGCGTGAAGTCAAGACATTGAGGATGAAAGTTTGCGAGGGGATTTTTGATATCTCGAACGGTTTGGCCGTGGCGAGGAAACGAAATCATGGCGAGAAACGTGAAACAGGAAGTGTATCATAACTTCAGCATACATTAACTGATCTTGATGAAACTTCAGCAGTGTGTTCGCTGTAAGAGGACGATCACATGGATGTGACTATTGTGAGTCAAAGTTATAGCGCCACCAACTGGCAGCAGGAAGTGTGTCACTTTCAAAATGCTTTGATATCACCCTTTTATTTTTACCCGATTTGCTTCAAACTTCATATGTATAATGTAAACATACGGCAGATGTAGACCTGTGAATGGATTCTTGATATCTTTGAAACTGTTGCCGTGGCGACGCATCAAACTTTACCCTTCTTTTAGGATGCTTTTAGGATGCTTTTGAGACCCTTAGCATGCTTCAAAATGCATGAAACTCGACAGACACATCACATTTATTAGCCAGTAGACATGTGCAAAGTTTCAGAAACGGGCGTGGTGAGGGCTCAGTAGCGCCACCTTTTGACAAAAGTGGGGTTGTTAGTTTTAACTAGAGTTACAAAAATTGGTATGTATATTGTACTCCTCGAGCCGGACAACTTTCTAA